ACACATTCCCATGAATTTCATTTCATAATACAAATTTCGCCCATTGCAAGCCCATGAATGAAATCGCCAAAGCTGAAGAAAGAGGAGTGATGTGCCCCCCACTCACTCACTTATCAAACCGAAAGGGGAAAAAAGGAAAAAGGAAAAGGAGCAGCCGTTGTTTGTAAACAGAGAAATTTCCATATGAGCAGTGAAAACATGATTTCCCCCAATTTCCCCCACAAGACCCTTCTTGGTGAGAACGTTGTTGCCATTAGCCAGAATTGTGCCAAAGCGAAAGAAAAAAAGATATGTCCTAAATTGAGACCCGACCAGAAAAGCAAAAGTAGGAAACCCTCAAAAGATTGATCTTCATACCAAGTCATTGTTTACTCGCCAGCCTTGGCCTTCTTCTTTCTCGAGCTCTTGGGTTGGCTCTTTGGGGTCTCACTTTCCTCTGGCGCGTCTGTGGTCTTCTTGCCTGATCTCTTGCGCTTCTTACCTGGACTGGGCTTCTCTACCTCTGGCGCAACTGCCTTGGCAGGAATTATGGCAGCTACTGGAACAATGGTCTCAGCAGCTGGAACTGGTGTCTCCTTTGCTCCTTTGGATTTACGAGTAGATTTTGCCTTGGGAGTTTTGGGAAGCGAGGTAGGTGGTGGAGTTGGCTCACGCTCTGGTTCTCCCTCAGCATCTTCATCATGAAGAGCTGTCGCGCTAGCTTCGCCCGTAAGTTGAGCATCAGCTGAGTTCTCTCCAACATTGTATTCCTCAGCATAGACGGCTGCTTCTTGGTCGGACATGTCCTTGGCTTCCAAGTTGCCTCGTCTATATGAGTGCATACGGGCGTTGTACAAGCGAAGGTTGTCTTTATAGGCGTTTGTCCAAAGCTACCTCAATTAGTACGGATGGACGAGGCGGAAAAGGAGGGATACATGCCTGCTTGTCATCCGCATTCATGGTACCCCATCTTCTGGTACCCTCTACACTGACAGCTCCCTTTGCGAAATCCGGACCAAGGTCATCAGATATGATAGGTCGCGCAGTTTGCATATAGAGGAAGAATGGAGTGAGAGGGCGTTTTGGCGCGTTGGGATCATGTTGTCTCTTCTTGCGCTCTTTGCCTCCATTCGCGGGGTCGCTGCCAGCAATCGCACCAGATTTTCCAGCTGGGCTGATGGCGCGTTGGAGATCTCCAAGAAGAGCAGGATTGTCACCAAGCTTGCTCAAGCTGGAATCAATCTCTGCAGCAGTGGCATGGTCTCCGAGGACCGCGTTGGTATGTTTGATGTAGGCGCTTGAGAGAGTTTGGATGGCATCTTGTAGAGTCGCGAGACCGGTGACAACCTTTTACCAGATTAGTGTCCATCGCGAGAGGTGATTGCTATGCATAGCTTGAGCTTCTGAGGCTAGCGCGAAGGTGACAGTGACCGTGACATTATCGCGACGCGCAAAGGAGGTAAACAATATTGGGCGCGCGTGTTTGTGGAGCAGGCTTCAACTTTGAAGTCGCTGTCATAGACAGCACCGAGTCTGGATCGCGATCGCGAGCATGTTTGGAGATAGGCTTCCAAGTATCCGAGGCGATCAGACTCGGTGGTTGCTGACGACGTGGGGAGCAAGTCGAGGGATGGCATCGTGGCGGCGGGATGAGGATGCTCAGCGCATCGCAGAATCGTGGAGTGGGGGTCGAGGTGGAGGCAACTGAGAAATCTTGCGCAGGCGCGTCGAATGTGAAGTCGTGTGTGCGCGATTGAGGAGATCAGGAAAAGAGGAGAGAGGATGGGCTTACTGAGTCCCGGGTGCGAATGTAATCGTTGACATCGATGACAATTTGGGTGTTCTTTGGGGCCTCTTCGACCGGGGCTTTTCCTTTGGGCTTGGTCATGATGGCGGCGGCGGTTGGTGATGGATAGTGGTAGTGGTAGTGGTAGTGGTAGTGATGGTGATGGGGGAGGAGTGGTGTGTGTCGGGGTGGTTGAAGGAGTTTTTTCAGTGTGCGGTGATGGGGGTGGGCAAGCCTAAAGGGTGAGTNGTGGTAGTGGTAGTGGTAGTGATGGTGATGGGGGAGGAGTGGTGTGTGTCGGGGTGGTTGAAGGAGTTTTTTCAGTGTGCGGTGATGGGGGTGGGCAAGCCTAAAGGGTGAGTGCGAGGTGGGGGTACTTTGGGGCAGGAGGACGCTGAATCAGCGTTTTTCAGAGCCCGCTCATGCTGCCCTAGCCTCGCCTAGAGTTAGCCGAGCAGAAGCCGAGGAGCCACCAAAATTTGCACCTGAACCGCCAGTGAGAGTGAGAGTGAGAGTGAGAGTGAGAGTGAGAGCCCACTGAACGAAGGAGGAGGACCGTCGCGTGGCGGGCAAACGTGAATTTCCGGCGACACCGCAATTCTGTACCCAAAGATCTCCAGGTCTCCCAGTCTCCAGGTACTCGTACAAGCTGAGTACCGTGCAGTGGCCGCTGTGGCCAAATGGCCTCAACTCAGGTCGTAGACCTTGCCTAGGTGCCTAGGTACCTAGGTAGGTCCTGCAAATCAGGCTAGTCACGCCTACGAGGTCATCTTCCATCTTCCAGGCACCTCAGTAGAAGAAAATCAGGTTCTTATCTTTAGCACCAAGTACCTACTCCATACAAGTGCCTGCGGCCTGCCCTTTTCTCATCAGAGTTTTGGCGCTAGAGCGAGTTGCAGGCGAGCTTCACACGCCAATTCTCAACCGCCCATCGCCCATCGCCCATCGCCCCTCGCCCCTCGCCCCTCGCCCATCATCTGGTGGTGATGCATTAAAAGTCAATGCTGCAGGGTCATCGGGCGCCAACAGCTTCCAGATTCCAGACCCTGCTGTACCCTACAAATTTTGGCATTTTTGCCCTCCATCCCCCAAAAGCGACGCATGATTTCTCGCCCGTTAGGCTTTCAACGACCTGTCGCCTGTGCCGTACTGCCAACGCGGCCGCCTGTTGGGGGATATCCGATACCGTAATTTACGATACGATGGTGAGGGTGCCACAAAAAGCATAGGCATTGCACTTACGCTTACGCCCAGCAGTGTCTCCCAGACTCAGCGACTATCTTGCCGCTTTTCTTCAAGGTACGAGTACAGTATCGTCGGCACTGCACTGCACTTCCTATGTGAGCTTTTAGCGCCCGGCAAATACTGAAGTCGAGTGAACTCCAGGGGTCCGGACTTAGTGATGTGTGGTCGTGCTGGAAAAGACCCGAGAAGGCTCGGTGTCGCACAAAGCGATCAGCGATCGGTGATGGCCCTGATGGGCGTGGGCATGGGCTTCTCAGCTGAGTGCACCAGAGATACTAGTACCCCGACACCCGATCTCCGTGGATCGGTAGGAAAGAGGACAGGCAAGTTAGTTGGTGTGCCTACTGGCCCGCCCAGAAGGCTTTTCCTGATCGCCCTCCCCCCCCCTCTCCCNCGTGGATCGGTAGGAAAGAGGACAGGCAAGTTAGTTGGTGTGCCTACTGGCCCGCCCAGAAGGCTTTTCCTGATCGCCCTCCCCCCCCCTCTCCCTCTTCCACCCTCTCACTACTGCTCTTCCACCCTCTCACTACTGCTCTTCCACCCTCTCACTCCTGCTCTTCCACCCTCTCACTCCTGCTCTTCCACCCTCTCACTACTGTCTCCCAGGTCTCTCTCTTCCGAAGCTTCAAGTGCTGGGATTCAGCGTGCCACAGTGTACCCCCATCGCCTCGGGTGGTGGTCATGATACCTGTGGGAAACATCCATGGATAGCATGAGATTGCCGAAACAATGCTACAGCGTGGGACGTACTGTACCTATCTACATATAGTGACCCACAAGGACTGGAGTGCTTTTTTCTTCCAAAGTCCTGTTTGGATGCTTTGGATCCCTCTCGTCTTCGCTTTCTCAGAGTACAGCCCACAACGACGAGATCAGTGCCTAACCGATCAACATCCAGATCCCTATCTAAAATTACAAGTGTTAATAACAAAGGATGAGAATCTCATTCATAGTACCTATAGTATATCAAAAAACCTCGATGATGATAATGATTCGATAATCTTTTCATCCCTAGAAGTGTTAGAACAATTACTATGTGAAAGTGCAAGTGCCTGAGACGAATTGCTACTCGAGTACATCCTCCCTACTCAAACGCTCGAGGCACATTGCAGCTCAGCCAGCAGCTACCAACTCACTGATTCACAACCCAACAGCCACAGCCACAACTCAGCTTTGTCAAATCGAAGCCTGAAATCTATATACTACGAGTACTTACTCTATCCCTACTCTATCCCAATTCTATGCCACTATTCACCCCTCGGAGAAAATAAGCTACAACCTTTTTAGCATCAACGCTAGCACTCAGCTGAACCTGATACGATTCTCTTGCATACCCCTCCACTATCAACCCCTCTATTGCTTTCTTGCATCATCTCACGAAATCTGTCCCTCCATCCCCCCCAAACGTCAGCTCTCACTGGCTCACTGTCCTTGAAACGTCGTCTTGGCGATCCCAGGGTCCAAGTTCAGGCTTGGCGCACGACAGACCAAGAACAGATCCATTCCATCCCACCTAGAGAACCCTCTCCTGATTCCACACACAAAGCTTGGGAATAGCTTCAACTACTTCCATTACAAACAAGACCGCAAAGATGCCGTCGTTCAGTGCATCCACAGCGATTATCACCATCGCTATCGTCCTCCTCCTCGCCAGACCGGCTCACGCATTTGGAGCGGGTAACATTGGATCTACCTCCAAAGTGGAAGGACAAAACTGTACGTGGAAATTCTGATCTGCCGGAAATCCAGCCGATGCTAACGTGATACGGTTGCAGGGCGCCATGGAGATATCGAGGATACCCTATTGAAGTTGATGATGGCGAGAGCCGCTGGCGGCAAGAAGTTCTCCAAGATGATGGTCTCCCGTGTATACTTTGGAAACTGGCTCAGAGATTATTGTAAGATCTTCTTCTTGACCCACTATCAGTCATGTAAAACGTTGGCAATCCAGCCTGGAGATGTTGGTCCCAGTCTGTTGCCTGGAAGCTTTGGGCGAAGCTAATATCGCGGGGTTCTTTTACCCCTCACTTGACATCGTCCGAAGCTTTCAAATGCCCGGGAATAACACGGCATCAATTATACATCACAAACTATGATTTATGCTCTCAAGCTCCTGGAGACATCGTATCTCCCAATTCCAAAATAATACTAACTTCTATTTTCAACAGCCCAGGCAATCGATGTGGGTACCGTCAAATATGTTAGTGCCGAAGCCATCCGAATTCTCCTATGGGTTTTGGGTTTTATGACCTTTGGATTTGGTACAAAGGAATTCGAGGTGACTTCAGACCGACTTGGATGCTACCGTCCCGAAGATCACATCGATAACCCTAAGGATTATGCCGACAATATTGATGCCACGCAATATGATAGAAGACTACGTGGTCCAGTCGACGAAAGTGTGGAATTGGCCATTGACCCAGAGACCGGATTGAAGAATTATATCGCCAATGAGCGCGCTGGCATCATGACCTCTGCTGAACATGTTCGAAAACTCTTTACCGAATGTATTCGTCTCGGCAGAAGCTATGGTAGAAGTAACAACAAGGATGAGTTATATGAAGCCCTTCGATTGTTGGGTACCGGACTCCATTGTCTGGAAGGTAAGTAATTATCAGAATTGAGTATCAAGATTCTGCTGACCATTCCTAGACTATTCAGCTCACAGCAACTACATTGAGCTTGCTCTCATCGAAATGGGCGAGAATGATGTCTTTCCCCATGTCGGTAGCAACACTGAAATCCGTCTTCGAGGTGCACGAAAATCTGTTTATCCTTTGATTACTGTACGTGTTGCTTTCATGAAATCAAATCTTTTATTGAGCACTGAATTCTGACTATACTTAATAGGGTACCTTTGGTGGTGTCGACTTTCTTCACTCTGTCTGCGGAGAAATTAACGACAAGGCAACTCAATCCGAAATTGAAAGTCTCGAGGGCACAATGCAACAAAGTGGAAACTCTGATACCAGCGCTCTCAAGGATCTTTTGAGCTCTATTCCAAGTGGTATTTTTGGCGACAAGGACCCTGCTGACAAGGCCGACGAGCTTCAAGACAGTGCCACGGCTGCTCAAATGAACCAAGTCCGAGTCTCCCCACGAGAGCCCGAGGAGTTCACACAACAGATGCTAGAGGTTCAACGCCAAATTTACCCAATCATTGAATGGCACGATGATATCATGCATTCCATCCAAGAAGCTATTGCAGAAATTCCCGTCTTGCCAGAGTTGATTGAGCAAGTTGAGGAGCAAATCAGTATCTTTGTATTCTCTCTTCTTGCGCCATTTGTTCTTCCTATCATTAGCCAGATCAAGAATGAGTTGAACACTGGTTCTTCCGAGATCATTCAAAGCAGTAAGGACAAACAGCTCATCGTCTTCAGTGACGACGACTGCTCCGACCCCACTCACTCCATGTTGTCAAAGGACCATTTCTCAAACGTAAGCTCAAAATTTCCAATCCTTAGCGAGCAAAAACTTACTTCAATAGATTCTCAATGAGGCAGGAGGAAAGATTGCATCATCAGTCCTTACCTGGGTCGTTCCCCAATTGATGGCCTGCTGGGACGATGACAACATTGACGTCGAACGCACCCTAAACCGTATCATAAACGGTGTATTCCATCACCCTGCTCTTCGCGATCAAGGCGAGGATGGAGCTGTTGATGGTAGACGCGCTATGTTCGGCGTTGTTGAAGAATGGTGGAACCAAATGGATGGACGTGAGCAAGATGATTACCGACGAAAGCTTACCCGTGATGGTGTCATGAATGGTGAGAACCACAAGGAGGGTGTTCACGATCATGGACACGGATGTGGAGGACCTCTTAAGATGCACAAAGTTGGCGGTGGTCAAGGAGGACCTGCTGGTGATATCCTCGGTGGCATCGCCGCTGCTGTTTCTGGAGGCAAGTCAGGTGGCGGTGGAGGTGGAGGTGGTCGCAACGAGCAATTTGGTAAATTTGCTGGTGAGGCTGCTGGTGGTGGAGCCATTGGTGGAATCGTTGGTGCGATTGCTGGAGGAGTTCTTGGAGACGTTCTAGGCGATGATGGCGAGAAGAAGACTTATGGTTCCTCTGGCTATGATTCTCAAGGCGGCTATCAACAGAAGGTTACCCAGGTCTCACACTCTGGTGGCCAATACGGTCAGAGTCAGTACTCTGAGACCTCATACGGAGATGGTGGTCGCAGACAGGAATACTCGAGCTATGAACAATCTGATCATAGCGGCACGGGATACCAACAGCGAACTGAGACTCGCCCTAGCTACGGAGGAGGCTATGAGCAGCGACAAGAGACTTCTACTTATGGTGAATCACAGAGCTACGGTGAGGGACGCAGAGGAAGCAACGAGAGGCAGGAGGGATATGGTGGTGGTGGATATGGAGGGGGTCGTGAAGAGAGTAGTTATGGAGGCGGAAACGACAGCTATGGAGGAAGTAGACAAGAGAGTAGCTATGGAGGCCGACAAGAAAGCAGCTATGGGGGTGGAAACGACAGCTATGGAGGAGGGCGTCAAGAGAATAGCTATGGAGGCCGACAAGAAAGCAGCTATGGGGGTGGAAACGATAGCTATGGAGGAGGCCGCCAGGAGAGCGGATACGGAAGTCAACAACGTCGTGATAGTCGGGAACGCCGAGATGAGGATGAAAACCCTATTGCGGAGGGCATTTCGAACCTCATTGGTGGGTTCTTGGGGAAGAAGGGTAACGATAATGAGAGACGTGGATGGTAAAGGGTGAATAGGGGAGAGTGCGAGATTTTGATGGGTGGATTTGGTCGTTTGATGGGTGGGTGGGGGGAGTTTGGGTTGTGCGTTGTGCGTTGTGGCTTCGTTTAGGTATGGGTGGGTGTCGATGGGGTTTGGGATGGGATTTGTGATATGGGGTTTGATGAGGTGACGAGGTGACGAGGTGATGAATCTTTGACGGCTGGCTATGAATGAATGGATTGATTGATAGGTGAGGTGAGTGAGTTGGTAGGTGGTGGTAAAAGTCCGCTTGTTACGTAGCTGCAGATAGTACAGTATCTCAACGAAGATTTTTCCCTCGATGGAAGGCTTCTACCTCTTCCCCCTCCCCCCTTCTCTCTCTCTCGCTACTTACCGAGATGTTTACAGTATACGGGTATACACAAGCTCCTCCTCTATAGTAGTACCTACTAGTAACCTACCTATTGAATAGCAGGATATATGGTGAATGAGGATGGGGTTGCTTACAGTAGTAAGCCATGGTGGGATATATCTCCCATCCCACTACTAGAACCACCCCTTTAATACCACCATATCTAGCATATCGTCCGCTACTACACTATTGTGAGCTCTTTTTTCCCACCCACATACCCCTCGTATGTGCTATGTACTATATACTAGCGCGACGAGAGTCTTAAGAGGGGTCTCTCTCTATAAGTGGACGAAGTTGAAGTGGTCGCCCTGCCTGCTCTATAGGTACAGTACTTTTGTATTTTACTAGATACTGTAGATACTTGGAGTGCCTTTTGAAGAGGTATATAAGTGTAACTTGCTCTTGGTTAGTTTGTTCAACTGCCCGCTAGACCGGGCGGAGGGTATGGTACTTATTCTTTCTTGGCTTTTTTTCTTCTTTTTTCTTTCTTTTTCTTTTTTGATGAGAATTCTACCTAGGGAGGTACTTGAGCTAGCTAGGATAGTGATATAGTATCAAAGAAAATCTGATAATAGGGAAGGCGTATTTGAGGGAACGTGGAAGGAGTAAGGACTATGAATGAATGCATGAATGATGGATGGAACATTAGTGAGGAATGGAGGGTTTTCGTTGGAGTATGTTTTTTTGGATGGGGTTTCTTTGTGGATAAGGAGGGTATATGTGGAGGTGGTAGAGAAGGAAAGAGGGGTATGTGAAATAGATAGGTAGATTTAGGGAATTGAAAAGGGGTTTGGTTCCGGGAGATTTTGAGGGTTAGAGGTAAGGTAGGTGGGGAGGGAGGTGGTTGGGTGGGTAGGTAGGTGGGTGATATTTCTTTTTTGGGTTTTAGGGGGGCGGTGGGGGGGGGTATGGAGGTAATATAAGGGGAGAGAATTATAGATAGGGTTTAGATTTTAGTTATATAGCTTAAGGGTTCAGAGGGGTAGATATACTATACCGATAATTATTATATTATATCCTACGAGGACGAGGAATATATTTTACCTAATTAGGGGCGTGGAAAGTGGTTTCTAGGAAACACGGTTAAGATATTATATTTAGTATGATATGTAACTTCTATATATAAATGTTGAGAGAAACTTATATACTTAGGAATGTTTTAATAGTATATAGTACTACGTTAGAATCTAGAGTCCGTATAACGCGACGACGAGATAGAAAAAGAGACGCGATTTAATTAGGGGCTCGCTGAATACGAAAATGTATCTTAGCAAGATAAGGACCATACTTGTAGAGGAGACATAATATCGAAGGATATATATAGTAAGTACCATTCTTTTCTTTAATATATATTATTAGCCTTACTCAGGGGCTCAATAGATTTCCATTATGCCGTGCTAGTGCTATCCACCTGAAAAAACCGCAAATGTGCGATTCGCCGTTCCCTCCTATCGGTAGAGTTACATCAGATTAGACAAGCTTGCATCTGAGGACGCAGTCTGACATCCACAGGACTATGCCGTTTGGTGGCTTTTGTACTAGGCTGCTATTGTAGCGAGAAATGGGGTTCACGGCTCGTCTTGAAGTAACCCTCTTCTTGGCCTGAATAGGAAGGTTGGAATGGTTTTTGTGTATTTTTTGGGTTATGTGTATGTAATGGTGTTTTGTTCGTAGATATAATATCTGGATAGATTGTTCTAGCTCCTATCTGCAAATTTATGAAATAATAATACCCTTATTGTTTTCTACTTTCAGTTATAGTAATTGTTCAATGGCTAATCAATTGACTCTCGGAAATGCGGGCCCTTTTGCAAAAGTCTACCTCCCTCCGGACCCCAAAAACAGTCGCTTATGCCAAGTATCGCGTAGTGCATACAGTATGTATATTGATATGGTAGCACTTTTCCATCTTGCAGTTATAGGATGATAATGCTGGCACCACATGCTTGCACACACACGAAACGTGAAACCTGTATATGGACGATTCACACAGAACAGTTTGTGCGGGGTCTGGTGTACGGCTGGGGCTGTCGAGTAAGTCGAGGATTATAGGGCGAAGCGATATAAGATCTTACAAATGTTGTCGTGCACTCTTGTTCCTCAACCCCCATCAAATTCTGACACTTGAAGAGTAATCGCTGGATAACAAGACGCCCCTGCTCGGACATTGGTCGAATCACGGTATTTTGTAACTGCTGTCATACATAACGATAACTGACATGGCTTCCTCCTTTCACCCTACGGCAGCGTCGCATGCCTTTTTGAGCCAGAATGATTCGACTTCTTTGGTCGTCACCGCTATCGTGTTCATCGTTCTCGAAACTATATTCTATGGTCTCAGAACACTGTCACGATACTACCAGAAGATCCCATTCGGTTGGGAAGATGCTTTAATGCTGTTAGGCTGGGTGACCTGTCTAACGTTAGCCGCCGATGGTTTGTATACAGAAGCGTCAGATCATGAATCCCGTACTGATTGCATCTTAGGAATTGTCTCGGTCCGTTTTGGCACCGGCCAGCGTTTTCTCAAAGTGATCCAAGAGCATCCTGAGAAGATCCCCTTGTGGGGACGAAACAATCTCTACGCCATCCCAATGATATACTGTTTTGCAGTCAACCTACCCAAGATGTCCGTTTTGGGACTCTACCTAGGCATCTTCCTCGACAAGTGGTCCAGATGGACGTGCTGGATCCTCCTTTTCGTCTGCGGCGCGAGCGGGATCGTGAATTTCTTCACGGTAGCCTTCCAGTGCAACACGCCCGAAGCGATCTGGAGCCCCTTGCTCCCAGGAGGTCGCTGTGATAACGTCGATGCACATATCACGTACTCGGCCATTGTCAACATCCTCACCGATCTCGTCATGATCATCCTGCCCATCTCGCTCGTGAAGAAGCTGCAGGTGACGAAGAAGGTGAAGATCGGGATCGCTCTCACCTTCCTCTCCGCCAGCATGTTCGTTCTCCTCTCTCCAATCGTCACATATATATCCCATGCTAATTGTGCGTTTAGAGGATTGATCACCGCCATCGCGCGCTTCATCCAGTTCATCAAGAACCCCATCGCCGAGGACCCCACCTACCAAGGCGCCAAACTCATCATCTGGATCGTCGTCGAGAGCGGCATGTATCTGATCTCGGGCTGTCTTTTATCTTGCAGACCGGTGCTGAACAAGATCATGTCCAGCGATGCGGTCTCGACGATTTTCAGCACGAATCGCAGTGCGTCGGGACGTGGCACCAAGGCTACCACTGGGGGTACCAGTGGTATCTCTGGACATCAGGGTAAAACTGGTAATACGACGGAGGGCCCCAAGGCGAGGATGGATGAGGAGAGTGTGGAAGGTGGGTATTATAGGTTAGAACCTACGAAACCGGATAAGATCTATGTGAAGAAGCAGTTTTCTATTGTCTAGGATAGGAAAGCTGGGGGCTGTCTTGGACGCCTCTTTCTGGCGAATATGTCTGATGAGTAGAACGGCCACGACAGAAGTTTTGGATCGGGTTATGTATTTTTATCTAGGATTTTTTGGTGCTCTTTTTGTTAATGGAATCAAAGCGGGACTTGATCGGATTCAGGTTATGGTGGCACCAAAAGTAGTGTCACGATTTTCATGTACTATTGGCATGTCATGATGCCGTGTCTTATGGGTAGTGACTCTAATCCGCTTACCATGATCACTGTTGTTCAAATTTTACGATTGTCAAGTTGTTCAAGGGCATCAAGAGTTGAGTTACACAGCAAGTAGTTACCGGGAGGGAGCCAAGCAGCTATACATTCATCGGCCCAGGCTCCAATTGCGTAGATTCGCTTAGATTTAGGACCGTCTTAATCTCGTATGGCCTGTTTCCAGGCCTCTCATGTTTCTAGAGCATCTGTAGTGGCATTTCTCTGGAGATGTCATACAGGTGAAGAGGATTCAAATTCAGAAAGAACTGGTCCAAGTTTGCCTGGGGCTCCGTTTGGATCAAATCCAACAGGAGCCCAGCGCCTCCACAATGCTTGAAGACTGCTATAGAAAGTCTTCTTTTGATTCGCTACTCCGATTTACACATATGAGTACATCACTACTACAGTAGGAATAAGAAAAGAAGTACGCAATAAGAAGAACCTGGCAGAAGCCTTCGAATGACCTCTAGCTTCCTATTCAAGACACCGACTCCATCATGCAATGTCAACGTCGTACTTTTCCCATCAGCCAAGGTAGTAGTAGAATAAAGTACCTACAGAAAAGAGTTTTGCCGGATAAAGGATCGCTCTCCATAGCTGTCTGCTGGTAGGCTGGCTCGCTTAAAAGCCTCGGATACTTTGTAATGTTTAATGGCGTTAAAGGCGCATGCATCGATGTAGTGTTATGTTACAGTCAGGCCTCGTGGTAAGCTCGTGTATCGGGTGCGACTCGCTCTTGTCGGGCGTAGATCATTGAGTGCGAATCGCTCTGATAAGTGACATTGATTTGAATGATAGACCTTATCTTCGCCCGTTATAGACGGCCCATACAGGCAAACCTGCATACGACAGAAGCTCTCTGATTTGCCGATTTGCGGCACTCGAAAGCGGTTGTGTGGTATAGCAGTATGACATGCAGCTCTTGGAGGCTCCTTCGTCGTATCATACCTGTTGTGACTTGAACGTGGCGTGCATGCATACTATAGGCACCCGCAAGTAGACCCCTGGACTCCACGATAAGTTGCCAGTGTCACCTATGGTAAAATCTGGACATATGCATTACCCTCTGGAAAAGCGCCGATGTAACACGGTGGTGGTTTTAGATCATTGATCTTATTTGATAGATTTATCACTGGCTTGCCTATTCTTTTTGATTAGCCATACAAAGTGCTCAATTCAGTAGGTCAAGCCTTCTCCGAAAAGTTAGGGCGGGAATAGGATCAAAGGAATATTTAAGCCACTGAGAGAGATTTACGGCATAGCCGATGTACTTATATGAGGTTAAACGTAAATTATAGCGAGTTTCTTAGTATGTAGATACATAGAGTAGACATTAACTGGTTATTGTATGTCTGTCCCGAATCTTGAATGTTGTGCTAAGCATGCATATATCTTGAAGTCCATGAAAACAAAAATATCTAGTACAGTATCCATACCCCATATTTACTACATTACTTTATACATGGACCTTCTCCATAACATCCAACAGTCCATACCAATAAACTATGTGGCCTGTTGCAATTGCTACATGCCAGATCTGATGACTCGCTCCCTAGATAATTCAAAAACTTTAGCAAAGACACCGGTTCCTCGAGTTTGACATTCTTACCCATATGTCAAAAGTTTCCCTCATATAGCATTCGGGAAAGTGCGAGACGTAGAAGAGAGTGCCCACAAAATAGCAAAGAGTCATGATTGCAAGATTATAAAGGGGAAACCCTTTCAGTCCATCGCTCCCATCAAGCAACCACTTATGAAGAATAGGTACAAATGCGGTAACAAACAAGGCTGATAAAAGCCTCACTCTTTACATAATATAGTTAGCATATATTCATCTCGAAGAGGTTATGTTTTTGCAATCCTACCTTCGATTTGAAGCCGATGGTCCATCCGCATTTGGTCCAAGAAGATTGAGGAAAACCCCGGAAGCGCAACAAATACTGATTGCAATGTAGAAAGTCTGGAAATATGGACTATTATACATTCCAAAATATGTGGCTGAAATACTGTTGACTGTGATGCTAAGAACTATTCCAAGATAGTCAAGCTTCAGTGCATGGTGTGCAACATCTTGTGAATGTGAGCTCAACCCATGATATATGGCCTTATTATTTGTTATCAATTGCCTCGCTTCAAACTCCCAAAGGATTAGGAGTATACTTACCGAGAAAAAAAGACAGCCAGCTGTGCCGACGAGATAGATAACCAGAATAAGCTTGTCGAAAAGTCGATCATCCAATGAATCCTCGAAAATATCGAACTGCGAGGCAATGGCCATACCAACATAGAACAAGGCCGGCAGGAGGTGTGACCAGATGTTGACGAATTCATTATGAAGATAGAACAGCGACCAGAAACAGGCCGTAAGTGTATCGAGCTGCCTCCTGTAACCTAGCCTGATATATGGATCGCGTCGAAGCCACTCAGGCAATTCATCCCAATGCAAGACATTAGACCTTGGTCCTTTGTCCTTGGGAAGGTCTGCTTTTGGTAATTTTCGCTGTGTAGCTGTCATTCTCCCTTCTGACTTTCTTTCTGTTTCTGCCTACCTCTTCTGGTATACGCGAGTATTGACTTTATACGGCGAGAATCAAAAAGGCACCAAGGACGAATGTGGCGGTGAAGGACAAAGGGAATGGACAGATTCTAAAACACATATTGTATGTATTGTGAAGAGAATTGCCTCAGGCTAGGTTATGTGCTGTAAGATTACCTGGTCCAGGGTGCTGCAGTACAATAGGGTACAGTAGTAAGCAAAATGTCACAACCAAATGGCTACTACAAAAAGGACCCATTTTATTCAATATACATCAATATATAGATGCACGAATATCAGTTCTTAGGTTCCTCCCCTTCGTATTCTGTGGAGAAAAACGAACTCCTGGGTCTTAGGTCTGTCACTACTGCAGCTTGGCATCATCAGCTGCAGGCTCCTTTCCCAGCCCAGCATATCGATCACTTCTCAAATCCGCCCAATGGGAGGAATTTGAGACCCGAAAGAACCAACCCAACTTTCACTGTGGTTGTATATGGCATCCTTCGATGGCGCCCTGATTGTGTACAGCATCCCATATCGTTCGGTCAGATCCTACGGTCCTACGAAAGTATATTTGAGTCATGGACAGCCAATAAATCATACACTTGATGTACGAGCCGTTGCTGTGGGGAGTATGAGAGGCTTCATCGATGCTAGGACGGCTGTGGGAAAGAATTAACTGCTTCTTTAAGTAAAGCGTCAGCCCAATGAAGACAGAGCCTAAGTAAGTTTATCTCATTAGCACATCAAAGATGATCAGGATGAAAGCTTCGCTGAATAGGTGTCCCTGTTCTTTATAACAAGGCTCTTGGGTCTAGGACTAATCCTTCAAAACTCTACAAGTGGTGTTAAGGCACGAAGCATATCCCCCCCAAGAGAACGCTGAGACCTCGACTTTTAAGCCATTTCACTGCAAATCTCAAAACTTATCTTCTACTTCTGTGTCTTGACTTTCATCTCAATTCAAGTCTTTGGACGTTAAACATGAGTACCACAATGCTAAAGTCTCAAGAAGCTCACCTTGGAGCTCAGACGATTGAGTCTGACTATCATCATCATCCTTCGGAGCTTGTAAAGGGTGGTGTAAGTCAAGTCCGCGATACTTACAAGTGCACTAATAACCTTTGAAGTAGGAAGTTAGTGGGCAATATACAACCAAGGACCTTATAGACGCAATACCTCCTCACTGCTTTGCACCTACATACGGCAGATCATTATGGTATTTCACTCGGGATTTTGCTGTTGCAGGGACAGCTATGTATGTTTCGTACAACTACATCCCTCTGATCCGCATTACAGCGTTACGCTGGGTTGCATGGCTGACCTATGGATATTTCCAAGGTCAGCAATTCACTGGAATTTGGGTATGTTTCATGCTTTCTAACACGTCTAAATACTAAGAGAGCACAGGCTCTTGGACATGATGCCGGACACGGTGCCTTCCTACCCAATACCTTCTTGAACGGAATGATGGGTTGGATTTTCCACTCTCTCACCCTCACACCGTACTTCTCATGGCAATCAACCCATCGCCGACATCACATTTACGCAAACAATCTCGCTAAGGATCACAACTATGTTCCGCCACAAGCCGATACTTACGCCCAGCTCATGGGTGTCAATCTGGACAAAATTGATGAATTGACTGAGGATGCGCCCTTGGTCACCTTTGTGCGCATTATAATTCAACAAGTGTTTGGTTTCCCGTGGTATCTTCTAGCCAACATAACCGCCACACAAGGAAGTCTTGCCGCTGGAAAGACAAAAAATGCACCTTCTAGGCTACCTTTCGGAAACAGTCACTTCTTGCCAACGAGCTCGCTGTTCAGACCAGAAGAAGCACACCTTATCCTTGCTTCCGATGTTGGTCTCGCTATGACAATCGCCGGATTATGGTACGCAAGCACCATCTTTGGATGGTCTACTGTAGCACTACTGTACATCCAACCATATCTCTGGCTCAATCATTGGATCGTATGCCTGACGTACCTGCATCACACCCATCCAGACCTTCCAAAGTACGAGCCAGAGGCATGGACCTTTCTCAAGGGAGCTACAGCGACGATAGACCGCGGTCTAGGATTTGGTGGCAAGCATCTTATGCATAACGTTGCAGATTTCCATGTCATTCACCATCTCTTCTCGCGTATCCCTCAATACCATGCTGAAGAAGCTACAAGAGCGATCCAGCCCCTTCTTGGAGAGGCCTACCACGAGGACAAGAACCGCGTGATTTGGAGTTGTCTTTGGGAATCATTTACGAAATGTCAATACATTGTTCCAAGCGATCCAAAAGCTAGCCCGGCAGATAGGGTTATGGTCTATAGAGGAGGCCCATCGCCTCCTATCGAACTCAACATGGGACGCAGTGGATTGAAAAGCAAACATAACTTAAGCTAGGGATATGTATGGGTCACAATTCTCGCTGCTTCCGGGTGTGCATCTAGATGACTCTGTTGGTAGTTGATGCAGATCTAAGTTTTGGGGTATGAAATAGGAACTGTATGTGTGAATGGCAGAATTTCAAATTGTGTTCTGATTGTTTTGAAGTGAATGAGCAAAGCATAGAAAACTTGGTGAGAAATATGTTTTTTAGTACCACTAACAACCTTTCTATTTACAATACGATATGTAAAAAACCACTTCCACTTATCCTGATATCAACCAGAAAAGACTGACCTTCAAGATTCGCCTAAACTTTCCCTTGGTGCAATTATAAATTTTTACAAGGATGTAATGAAAGGGAAATAATGTGACAACCACTACAGTAACTTTTCATACTGTGCCTCTGATGTCGCCCGATTGAGGCTGCTTACAACAATGAGGATTTTTATGCATAAGTGGCTGTGGTTGAACTCTATTGCTTGGTTGTATTGTGCGATTCGCGTACTGTACAGTACAGTAAGCCTGTTGTTGGTGGGGGTTACATTCATATGCAGCTTGGGGTCTGCAATAGTAGTGTAGCCCAATTAAGTATGTAGCGATTAGAGGTAAGGGAACTGTGCCGCATTCATTCCAAGAGCCAGCTGTGAGTCAAGTACTACAGTACAAAATTTACATACAAACATGGAACATCCCCCCACTTAAGCGAAAGGGGCAAACTTATATTTCTCCCTTAACACCCACGACTTGCTAGTTGGCCAATGAATATTAGCAACTTGTATCCAGTGTTATTCAAGCACCACAATGTAAAGTTCAATTACTGCAAGCAATCAGCCTAGGTCAATGTGAATGGGTTGTCAGCTGCGCCAGTATAGACCCTGCGAACGTCCTCAATAAATCGTTCCACATTTTGGCTTTTCGCTTATGATGCCTGAAGACCACAAATCCTTAAGACGGAAGTCAGACTGTACGAGCAGAGAGAGCAAAAACAGCAGAGGCGTCCATATTACATTGACAAGGGCCATCATGAAAGCAGTGGTGAGAGAACGTGGTATGCAAATGCATGCAGAGCCACTGCATGCCTCGTTGGATCATCAACGTATATGATAGGAAAATTTGACAAGATGGTACAAGGAACAGGATCCTCCTGGGGACTATTAAATCCGTATCCTGAGGTTGTTTGGAGGAATTCAGTGGGCTATTGGACGTTCCCAGAATCAACCTTGCCGTCAAAGAGGCACGTCAGTTGAGTTTCAACCGAGAAAGGAAGTTGTCTAGGGCTTGGTGTTCTTTAGGTGACCGTACTACTGTAAATGAACGCCGCTTGGATCCATTAGTGCTATAATAGCTTCAAGCTGCAGTTTGCCAAGATCTGAGCTTGAAAATTCAGTGCTTACTGCAACCTGAATGGATAAAGAGCCCTCGAGTGGCTAGATTCCACTTGACTTGGTGTCGGTCCGCATTTGAGATGACGGGGTTTTGTCAGAAAACAACCTGGAAACTTTAAATATAAGAAATTGGGGTCTATATTGAAAGTTCTGTACATTAAAGTTAAATTGTGTTTTTCCGTGTTCGCGGTACTGTACGTACGTACTGTTCAGTATGTCGCCAAGATTACACAACATCGAAACTGCTGAGTGACCCAACCCCTGAACTTGTTGGAATGTTGATTTTGATTCGGCAGAAAACCCAAAGAGGCAACTGCCAATAGGGCCTCTTTCTTAGTGGGTTTTATAGTCGACTTATGCCATTGCTATACCTTTCCACGCCCAGAGTTCCCCGTCTTTCTAATAAGTGTTCCTCGACTTCTCATAAATATGTTTCCCTAACCAAACTCGGTACCATAATTGACTTTCCCGATGTATCTCTCATCATATCGTGCTTATTGAGTAATCCTACATCATCGATCTTTGTCTCCTCAAACATCTCCAATTGATTGGGCCTGTTAGTGACTCAACACTGTTGGAAACTAACAACCAACAAACAACACCATCCTTTATCTGTAAAAACAAATATAATTTGGGGAACAAAGTGTCGAGAGATATCAGCATTCCAAATCATGGATGAGTCCAAAATGGAAACCGAAGTCGAGTCTGTTTCCTCTAACCCAACGCAAGAGGAGGAGGACCCAAAACGCTATCTAAAGGGCTTCCGCCTTATTGTCGCTGTGTTAGGGTAAGTACAAATATCCCACTCCACATCAAATTTCCTGTTTGCTTTTTTCCTAAAAAGAAATTACTCTACTTACTTACATACTAGGCTTGGAATCATACTCTTCTTACCCACAGCCGAAGCGTCGATAGTCAGCACATCTCTCGTTACCATTTCCGAGGATATTGGAAGTTATGATCGAAGCAGCTGGATTATTACGTCCTACCTGTTAACCTATACAGGTACGCGTGCAGATGGGCTTTCATCCGCAGCGATGAAAATTCTATATCTCTTCCTAATGCTGTAAAACAGGATGCTTGATTGTTTGGTCTAAGATAACCGGGGTTATCGGTTTGCGGCCTGCGCTGTTATGGTCTGCTGCAATTTTCATCCCCTTTTCGGGCGCCTGTGGGGCAGCTAAGAATGTGGAGCAACTGTTTGGAGCCCTTTCTCTTGTTTTTGTCTGTTCTCTTTCATTTGTCGTCTTCTTATTATGCTAACAGCTCACTTCTAGTATAACCTTCCGCGCTTTCCAAGGCATAGGGGCCTCGGGTCTCTATTCCGTTTCCACAATAGGAATGTTTCAACTTGTGCCGCCTCGTCAATATAGTCAAATAAACTCGATCGCAGCCTGCTTCACGGCTGTGTGGCTTCTCATAGGTCCCGTTGTTGGTGGAGCCATAAGCCAAACGGGTGATTGGCGGTGGATATTCTACATGGTGTGCGTAGTTTCAATTTTATACAGTGTGGATAGACTGGCTAACCGAATATAGTCTCCCTATACAAGCCATCTCCATTTTCCCCACCCTTTTAGTTTTACCATCTCGCTTTCCATTGCATTGCGAACCTAAAGTCAAATCCAAACTCCAACTATCAAGCATCTTAGACTTGTTTAAGAAGATCGATGCCTTGGGAACCATTCTTCTCCTAGGTGCCTCAGCACTCCTAGTGACTGTTCTCGAGGAAGGTGGTGTGCAACTGGCCTGGCGATCTGCTGTAATAATCACATGTGCTATTCTATCAGGTATCTTCTGGTTGGCTTTTATTTTCTGGGAACGGACCTCTGGCCGCGACGACTCCAGTGAAAATGCCATGTTTCCCAGACGGTTTTTTGGCAACCAGATTTTCATGGCAAATTTGTTGTTAGTACTTACCCTTCTTTGAAAATCTATAGGACCTTGCTAACTACTGCCAGCGGTTTATTTGTTTCAGGGGTTCCTGTCATAGTAGCGGTCATAGAATTGCCCCAACGCTATCAAATAGTCAATGCAGCTAGCCCACTTTCTGCAGGCGTCCGGCTACTCGCCTACGCAGCTCCGTTGCCTTTTGGAATCGTGTTTGCGAATACGCTAACTGGGAAATATCGAGTCCCCTTCATATACTCGCTTTCTGGTGGAGCCATTCTACAGACCATTGGGTTTGCACTGCAGTCAACATTACCTAACACTCTTCGCACATGGCCGGGCCAGTATGGATATAGTGTCATTACTGGTCTTGGAATGGGGATGTCAATGGGAACCTACTACATAATGACTCCTATTTCTGTCGGAAAGAAAGATCAACGTATGATGACCCCTCTTCTTTTCTGACTATGCAAATGATAACACAATGGGCAGATCTGGCTGTAGGTGCCGGCCTACAAGCTCGCCTTCTTGGCAGTGCCTTAGGGATTGCGATAGTGAACAACGTCCTGAACAACTACTTGGAAAGACATCTGCCACCATCACAGCTTGTAGATCTGCGTAGTTCTACAGCGAGTCTGAGCCACTATCCTATTGAAATGCAGAGAGGCATCAGAGAGATTTATGGTGAAGGTTTCAATTTGCAGATGAGGGTTTCTATAGCGTTTTGTGCGGCCCAGTTTGTGGTTGTGGGGTTGATTGCGAGAAAGAAGGCACTGAGAATAGACGAAAATGGAAAGATGACTGGAGGGGGTTTGTAAACATGGTTAATAGGTTATACAGAGAGGCTGTTCAAGCAAAACGATCTTGGAACTGTCTATGCTATCATGCTCTGTCCCACTTATTCGTTCACAGACAACCATTTCGTATAAATTTGAAGTCGTCGACTGCCTCTCAAACGAAACACGACAAACCCGATGATTTGATCGGTCATGCTGGGGTGTTGATCTTTGCTGTTTATTGCCTCGCTCAACACCTTCGATTGCTCGCAGAAGAAAGTCTGAATCTTAAAGACTTACTTCGCTGCATGAAATAGCCATAATTTACGGACAACAGCCCGGAACCCCAAATAGACAGTGTCTCCTGATACGAACTGGGAGTAAAGGCGAGTAATGTCAAGCTCTGAGTAACTTTGAGTAGTACTCGAGTCGCTGAGCAGTTTATTCGAACGTTGGAATAGAGGCAAGCATAAAAACCTGATTACTCATTGAACTGCGAGCTCTCTAAATCATGCTTGTCAGGCTTCAGCAAAAAAAAGAATTCTTTCAGAGCCCACTTTGTATCTAATAAATTGGTTCCTAGCAGCCTATATGTGATAACAATATCGCAAAACAAATGAACCATAAACTTAGAAGGCTCGGGGGTTCAGGATCAAAGTACAGAAACAACTTGCTAAACAAGTCCCACAAAACGTCACGAACAACATCTGGAAATACGCCTCCTGCAGTATTCCGAAGTCCCCCTCCCTTGCTCACGGAGTGGTACCTCTGAAATTTATCTCTCGGATATAGTTACAATGCAGGGAATTCGCGATCAACTACACAAAAGAGCCGCTGTTTTGAGTGTTTTGCAAAATAATTGTTTTGTAAATGAAGTGCTCGAAGAGGGACTGGTAGTATATCGATGTAACACTTACGTGGCACTCCAATTCAGCAGAGTTGCCCTTCCCCATTGTTGATCGTTGAGGATATCAGCGATTGCTAGATGTAGCTTGGGCTGTAAACGAGAAAGATGGCTGGACATGGTGTTGTGGATATTGCATGTTATTAGTGTTAGTATAACTTGGTGGGATAATAAGGGCATGTAGGTGATGCTATTATAGGTAGGAAATAGTAACAAAAGTACGACGAAGGACAACAAAAGTGGTACAAAAGTAGTAGTAGTAGTAGTAGATGATTGATTGTCTGTCTGCTACGTGGAATCCGGGCATATATATAGCCCGGAGTATCACGTGAATAATCACGTGAATATATCGTAACAATTAGTTATGTTTGTCTTGCTTTCCTGGAGAGGCAATCCAGGTTGGGTCGGCTAATCTCGGCACGTGACCATAAACATTGAATGAAAAGAAACGAAAAGAACTACTGTAATCATTATACATAAGTTTCAATGAAATTCAAATGCGCATAATCTTCCGTCAAAACAACCTTTTCTCTCATAAGTGTCCATAGGTAGGTAATGCGGAGGAAAGTCCTTTTAAGGCACGTGACCATGTCCACCTAGACATCCATTTTAACATTGAACTCTTCACTAAGTTTCGAATTCTGTCCTCCTAAAAAATCCTCAAGATTTCCATCAGCCGGATGATAATACAAAAGTTTTTTGACGGGACGTTTTTCAGTCCTTTCAAACTTGTCGCAAAAACGTATCGGCCTATTTTCCTCCTTTAGAAACTCGGCTATGGGAATCGCTGCCACGACCGGGACAAGGTTCAGGTTAGGAACATTCCGCAATGGAGCACCAGAACTGGCGCGACTGTGAAGAATCACAAAACGGTCCAGTCCCGGTAATTCTCTGAAGAAATTCCATAATCTGTCCAACTGGAAAGAGTTGCCACCAGGGAGTGTGTCGTGATCCAACCCAATCCATAAACTAGCAGTAATACCGAGCACCGCGGTTCGAAAAACGCTGAGGTCCTTATTGTAGTAATCTTTCAAGGGAGACCAATCACCACTCCAAAGGCCATTCCAGTTGTCCCCACACCAGACTACATCACGTAAAGGATTGGCATAAATGCTGGCACCGGGTAGTATTGTGTGTTGAAATAAGGTGTACGTCTTCAGAGTAAACGCCCTCGATTCATGGTTGATTTGAAGTGCGATCGGATTAGGTAAGTTCACACCTGATTTGTAGTCTTCATCTTCGTCTGGAAATCTCGACGTGAACTTTTCGTCCAACAGCGGTTGTAGATAGCCTGCAAATCGTAGTACAGGTAGATAAATAAAGTCTCCATATTGATTATATGGATTGTCTCCTCCTAGCATCTCATTTGCCAGCTCGACGACACGACTTTCCGGCCATGTAAGCTCCCATATTTTCTCTCGGATTTCAAGCGGAAGGGTCGAGAACTTGACCTTGCCAGGGGTTTCTGAGCTGGAGTAGTGACCTCCGTGTCTAGCAGACTAAGAATACGTCAACGGAATTGCAGTGATTGGGGGGAATATACTTACTCTGCGTAAAGGTGCCATAGGTATTTTGTGGATGTTGTGAAGAATGTTTCCCAGGGTTGCTTGGTGGAAAATACTCTAAGGAAGGAGAGATCGCTTCCGGTAGTGATCACCGGTCTTGGCATTCCGCCTGGCCCGCCCTCCCTAAGCTTGTTTCTGATCATAATATGGGGTACTTCTACTATTATATTCTCCGACTCGTGCAAAATACGAAATTCTAGAAAACACATATACCCTCTATTATATGCTGGCACTTGGGCGAGATACAATTGCCGAAGGTCTAAACGCTCCAATAAGCTTGAGGTTGTCCAATTTGGTGTTATGGTTCGTTTCGAGGATTGGCATCGATTTAAACTTTTATATTGAAAATCCAAACTTTTAGACACAGAACAGCTCGATAGGGGGTCAATGAATTGTGAAACATTTTATGACGCTACTTCTTGCGAATGTTTTGGTTGATATTTGAGAATTTCGGACAGACTTATGGAGCATTTATTAAGGAGTAGATTGTAGCAGATTTGGGAATCTCCGAATTGTGGACCAAATGTGGAATAAATGTGGATTAAGTATCATTTGCCTCAACAGAAGCCATGCATTTGGATATCGAGTGACGTCGAACGGAAGAATTCTTAATCCCCTCTTTCTTTCTCCCTTTTCTACAAGAAGGGATATCTTGGACCCGTCTTGGCCTTTGAAGACAGGCAAGTTCAACTTCGATATCTCAGCCAAGATGCACTCTCCTTCTATTCAAGTCTTCGCAGCACTCGTTCTTGCAGTCACCAGTGTAGTAGCTGCCACTACACCTGCACCAACTGCCGCGCCCAGTCCCAGGGAAATCGAAGAGGCGCTGAAGGAACGTGCAGTTGAGAAACGTGCCGACAAATGCACTTTCTCAGGAGCTAAAGGCTACTCGCTTGCCAGCAAATCCAAGGCCTCCTGCTCGACTATCATCCTCAAATCTCTCAGTGTGCCAGCCGGAAAGACGCTTGACCTTACCAAACTTCCCGACAACACCGACGTTATCTTCGAAGGTGAGACTTCCTTCGCTTATCACGAGTGGGAAGGTCCATTATTTTCTGTCAGTGGCAAGGGTATTACCGTCGCCGGTGCATCTGGAGCTACTCTGAATGGTAATGGTCCATATTACTGGGATGGCAAGGGTGGTAGTGGTGGCGTCACAAAGCCCAAGTTCTTCCAGGCTCACGATTTGACGGACTCGCTTATCGAACCAATCACCATTCTCAAACCACCAGTCTAAGTCTTCAGCATCAATGGTGTCAGCAATCTTGTGGTCGCATGTATTACTGTTGACGCCTCTGCCCGAGATGCGAAAGCAAAGAACACAGATGCATTTGACATTGGGTCTTCCGATGGTGTTACTATTAGTAAGTCCTGGTCAATCCATGCAGATAAAGAGTGCTTACTGACTGTCATCAACAGAGGGTGCTAAAGTGTACAATCAAGACGATGTATGACAATATTTCCTTGCCCCCCTTTTCTTACTCACTTGCCCTTGTAGCTGAGAGGGTGGTGAATCTGCGCACCTCTCTACGCTGATCCAACCCGGAAAAAACTTGAACTAATCATACATTTCAGTGTGTTGCAGTAAAGTCCGGATCTAACATCCTTTTCACTGGTGGATTGTGCTCTGGTGGACACGGTCTTTCCGTCGGCTCCGTTGGTGGCCGTAAAGACAACACCGTGGAAAAAGTCAGCTTCACAGACTCGACTGTTACCAAACCAGTACAAGGCAAGTATTTCCAGAGTTCTGAAAGATATCACAAAAGCTAATATCACGCAGCTATCCGCGTCAAGGCCAGAGCAGGGACCACCGGCGCTATCAAGGCCGTAACATACAGTGGCATCACCATGAGCTCCATCTCCAAGTAAGCAATTGCACCATTACGTTGTTGTAGGCATTTGCTAACTATCAACAGGTACGGTATTCTCATCGAACAAAATTACGATGGCGGAGATCTTCACGGAACTGCCACATCAGATCTTCCAATCACTGGCCTGGTCCTCAAGAACATTGAGGGAAGCGGAGCCGTAGCCAGCAAGGGTTATAATGTTGTGGTTACTTGCGGTAGCTCTTCTTCATGCTCCAAATGGAGCTGGTCTGGTGTGGCAATTTCCGGAGGAAAGAAGTACGCTTCTTGTACAAATGTTCCATCAGTCACTTCTTGCTATTAAGTTTGAATGTTCTCCTGAGGCAATCGTATTAGATGGCAGAGGGGTGGAAGTATCTTTATATTTATGAGAATGATCGAGTGTGTTGGATCTTTGTTATAATCTTTTTAATTTTATAGTTTGGTATATAGAAATCTCAGGAACTGTCAATATAGCGAGTCATTTATTTTTGCTTTACCATTAACCTCCAAAGCCTTGCAGCAGTAGGTATTCTTGTGAGCCTGCCGGTAAATGATTGAAATGCAAAGCGGTGCGGGAGCTAGCTTCAGTGAGAACTTTGATCTTCACACCATTGAATTGTGTCAACATACTTGGCAAGATTGGTTCAGTACAAGTGCTGTCAAATCTTCGAAAGCACTATTTGAATAGAAAGTATTAGTATTGAAGACTCATCAGACAGGCTCTTCAGACTTTGCCCAGCCCGGTAGTCTTTCATCTCGTTATGCTAGTACAGAAACCTAGATACCAGTAAACAGACAAGAATGAAGCAAACCACGCTGCCTTTTTTGTTGCTAGGAAACTTGATCCATAAGGATGGAATAATTGTAGCGCTCATATCCGGGCAGACTTACGAATTTCTGCGATTGAAAATACTACAAATGATGAGCTCTTGCTGTAGCGAATCTTGAGACTATGATGTATGCGAAACATCAGGTGTCCTTCATAGTGAAAAGATTTCCAGTCCTCACGATACTGAATGCCAAGCTCTTTGAATTGAAAGTATCCTTCTTCTCGCTGATTTCATAAGCTGAAGCTGAACAAAATAGTCTACCGCATTGGTTTAAAGGCTCAATTCACAGCATGGTTTATGTGCGCTTCAAGTGAATTGTGTGTCATCTACGTCATAATAGTTCACTACCCTGCTCCTCAGTTGTGAATCACTAGATCTGCGAGGCAACTTATTTTTAGCAAGTGGAGAGGCGAGATTCTATTTGAGAATCTTTTCACGTCAATCCTCAGTGTTGGTCACTTCAGGTTTGCACCTTTGGTTATGTCAACTAGCTTGGATGCCCTATCAAATCCGATATTTACAATAAGACCAACATCTCATGTGAAACATGTACCTGTCGTCAGTGTAATCAATAGGCGAAGCAAGTGATTGCTGGCAGTTGGAATAAATGGTTTAAGTTTTGAACTTATTAAGCAAGGTTTTTACGCAATTGTTTCAACGTAAAACTGCGGTTGCTGAGCTGGCGTTGTACGTGGCCATTGCGGTTACACAGGAGATCTTTGTTTACCCAGCAACGACAACTTCTATTTGCTGCATACATCATCAATACACCACAGTGGCGTTCCAGTGCTACAAGCGAGTCCACTAATAACCCTGTCAGCGGCCACTGCGGTCATGTTTTTAGGTGAATACAGTATCATCAAGAACACGTGATTTTACAGCCACTGTCTTTCCAAAGCTTTCTTGATCTATTAATAACCTCCTCTTGTACTTATAAACCATCAAGTTCGTCGTTCAAGCTTCTCAGCTATACTCATATCGCAACTCCTCAATACACTCGCTTGTCTACACAATTTCAAGTACAATCTCAAAATTTCAACAAAGCACTATACAAAATGCTTTTCCCAACATCAACCGTCTTTGCAGCTCTCTCCCTTGCCAGTGGAGTATTTGGATCCACTATCTTCGAGTTCACTTGCAACAACGTAGCCAGACATATAACCGGCTTGTCCTACCCAAACCCTCGATGCTGCGCAGATGTCACTGTTGGACGTGGTGGAACTGAAATAGGTACCAATTGTAAGCAATTCTGATATCTTCATCAAACTCATGGAATATCAAATACTGACGTGGACGATCACTTAGGTACTACTGCAGATGTATCGGCATCCTCGACTTGCGGAGCACCAGTAACATATGACTGTGCGAATGCAACCTTGAGCGGTTATGGCGATGGAACTTGTTGCAGCGAAGTAAGTGAATCTTTGAGCTTTTTGTACTTGAGGTTTGGTTTGGTACTGACTTTCACGTCTAGGAGGTCACTGCCACTTCTGAGTATTGCTTTTCGACCCGCTTTAGTTAGAGAGAGAGTAATTGAGAAGTGGATACGGAAGACAGTCCCCTCTCTTGGAAGGTGGCTTGGAGGGTTTAGTTCTGACATACTGAAATAAGATATTCTTTTTCTGAAACATATTTCCAATTGAAAATTGTGACAGCTTCTCAATATGATCACTCCTTGAATATAAGTTGTACTGTACAAGATTGGCGATGAAGATCGGACTGGCAGTTCTAAGTGCTGGTCCTGGTTACATCTAAATAGATCTAGAGTATCAAATCCCCGTAGCTGAGTTGAGTAGTACTGTAGCACCTACTTTACTGAATACTTTACTAAACTGAGGGGCTTTTGAAGGTCTACTCAACTTTATCCTACTCGACTACCACTTATTTAGTACTTTGGTAGCTGATTATATTTTGAGTATGCTGCATCTAAAGTATAAAAAGGCCTGAATAACTAACGATAAATAAATCCATTCCGCAAAATTACAAGTAGAATAATAGTTACGACCAACAAACACTGACGTAGAACGATTTTCATTCCATTCCAATCACTCGACCACCCCATCTGCTCAGGCGCAAAAACCTTTGATATCGTTGCTTCATTGTTACTAGAACAATAGCTTTATTACACTCCACAATAGCATCTCTCATAACCTCAACAGTAACTCGGTGCTACCTGCAGTCGATCAATTCGCGGAAACTAGAGTGTGAAATACGACAGAAGTCGCGAGACGTAATGTTGCCCACTTCCCAAGGACTTTCCTATGACTTGTCAATAGTTAAGCCTTGATTCCAAGATTTTATATAGTAAACCACTTCTTGTGCACCCGTTTCTCTTGTTAGTGTTGAGGTCGGAGGGGGGATGGTTTCACTTTTCGTGCTTCTCGAGTTATAATTCGAGACGTAAGGCGTCAAGTTTCCAATGCTGCGATACTTTTCACTTCTCACTACAAGGCTTCAATCTGTCATTAACCTTACAATTTAACTTTCTTACCTATGGTTCATTGATGCAAATATACAGCAAATCTCTATGTAAAAAATCACTCTTGCCTCTTCAACCCATGGCCCCCAACCCAGCCGAGCTTGACTAGCTCCAACCCACAGCCACTAAGCACAATATATTCTAACCTACGTCAAGGGTGACCAGTACCTGCGCTCGGTAAACATCCCTCTTCTTAGCCGACCTCCAAGATCTACCCCTAACAACTCAACGCTGTGATACCACATAAACAAAACCAACAACCCACCATCCACCACTCATCCCCAACAACCACAGAAAACCCCATCACATCAGATCACCGATCACGAAAACCGAGAAAACCCGGCTAAGCCATATGTCATCCATGTGCCCAACTCCACTCCTCGAACAAACCAACATCGTCTCCAGAGATGCACTGCGCCCTCCAACCTGCCCCACCACCATCGCCCCTCCCTCCTCCAAGCCCCCGGAGAGGAAAGAAATCGGGTACATGCAAAGAACCTACCCCCAAGGTATCCTGCAATGTAAAATTAAACTCTTTATCGAAATTCAATAACAATGGGTATTGTATTGCGTCCCTGCGTCGGGGGAAGTGCAGAAGGGATTAGCGAGATGGGGCCGCCCTTGCATAAGGGGGATGACAAGTCTAGAAATAGAGAATACTCGCGTCGCCAGAGGGCGGGGTAAGCCCAACCATGTGAGGGCAACGCGGCGATGATTAGGGGTTAGATGTTGGAATCCACCGCGATATCGGAGGGGTATTCCAGATAAGAAAGGAAGGTATTTTGGGGGTCTGGGCAATACAGATATCCGCGGGATACAGGAAGAGACGTATAGATGTTGGTACAGTAAGATACATTCCAAAACCATCATATCATCAAGTATTCCCAACAGCCAACATTCTCGGGATCCTCAGGGTTTAACTCGGTATGGTAAACAATGTAATCAAGGAAATCAACCCTAGACGGGCCAAATAGGCGCGTTAATCAAAGAGATGGAATTAATTAGGGTGGTTTTCCAGGGAGAGACCCGACTACCAAGTGTGTTCTACAAAATAATAATGGTTAAGGATGCTTACACAGGCGTGCCCACCTCATCATCCCAAAGTACAATCATACAAGATCCCGTATAATGAATGAAAAGAAATAGTAAGAACTTGCACACTGCTCTTCGTGGCTCCCAATCCAAGTCGATGAGTAAATAATACAAGAGGTGAAGTGTGAGGGCGCAGACACAAATCACTTGAGTTCTTCCAACCTCGAATAATCGAAATCATCCACTTCGACGTTTTCCCACCCCGCGCCGATCGAGGGCTCATGCTTCAAGACCGGATGGTCACCAAACCCATCATCATTATTGACTGCTCCCACCCCAGGCATCGCATCGTGTTCTTGTATGTCTTGAATCTCATCCCAATCCTCAAACCCCGTATTACTGTTATCCTCCTGACCGTCGTCACCACCATCGCTCCCAGCTTGATCCTGGTCCGTCCAGCCAGAATCAGCATGACCCGGAGCCTCAACAACCCATTCCAACTCCTTCACTCTCTCAACAACACCCCCCTCAGTGACTCCACTCCAAACTTGAGTGTCCTCAATCTCTATATTTCCCTCTTCGCCCCACCCCTGACTCGGTTTCGCATTATCACCCAGGTCTTGCCAGCACTCCAGCTGCGTCGTTTCATTAGTAGGCAGATGGGCGTACGCCCAAGTAGGATCATGATCATATCCCTCCGTGACGTTCCAAGCATTACTTTGATGCGAGAGCTGCGTACCATCAAAGCCCGCCAGCCCATTATTTGCAAGGAAGCTATCGATATTGGCGCCTTCAGATCCGACCAAGGTACTCTCACTATCAACCGTAGTGACAGAAGCAAAAGAAAGGTTCTCAGATGGGATATCAAATCCGCTTTGGGGCTGTGAAAAAGCACCAAAGGTAAAACTCGTTTGCTGTGATCCAAAGGGCGAATTGAGGCCTGCGGTGGCCGGTGGAGTGGCAAGTCCGGTATTTTGATGTGCGGAATTATGATGTTGAATAAAAGGATCTAAAATGTTTTGTTGTTGACCACTGAGACCATGGGTGTTATCAATCAATGAATTGAAATTTTGGCTCATAAGAGCGTTCATACGTTGTCCCTGACCTGGGTCAGGAGACATGCATTTTCGCCGCGCCAACTCCTGACAATCAAGATATCGCCATGTAGTTGAGCTTGATTCTCCCTCTCGAGGTTGGCGAAAGGTCCACAAGATTAACGCGCGTGTGATGAAAGGCATGCCGGATTCAGGACTGTATTGAACCTCTTGAAACATAGACACCTCGTTCAAAAGTGCCTGAATGGTTTCTGGAGAAGAGGAAGTCTGCTCGGAAATGTTCGCCAAAGAAGTGAATGCCTGAGCCCATGGTTGTGCAGGAAAAGGCAATTTGCAACGGGTTTCTTGAGGAGATGTTGACAAGACCTGAAGTAGAGATCCGCGCCTCTCGACAGCTGGCTCATTATCTCTACACAGGGCTTGTGGTTTGGAGAGTGCAGTGACGCTTTGCCACATGCTGCTCTGTTCCAGAGTTCGGTTGTTTCCGGACACTGATATTTCTGTCCAAGCAACAAGCTCAGAACCGTTAGGAGGGTGGATGGACATTAGAGATAGGGGAACGTCCATGTGAATTACTTCACAAGGTAATGATGATCGTAAAGCTGTCAAGTACGTATTCTCGAAATACGGATAGCGTTGCCGCCAATTAAGGAGCGATTCAATAGAATCGCCTGGACGCTGGCCCTGAAGAGTAGTGTATTTGTGTAACACACTTTCAGAATGAGAACAATATAAATCCTGCTCGCTGCCAGCCGGGACAGGTTCCGAGGTGATTAGAAGCCAGAAAAGTGCTGGCTTAACAGATGACTGAGAGATTTCGTCGTAATCGTCGTATCGTTTGCCAGGAAGTCTACCTTCTGAGAGAGCTTTAAGGCATGGGTCGTTCTTGAAAGACTCATGAAAGCCGTTTTTAGGATCCTTGCTTTCCGGGAAGAGTTGACGGTCTTTGTCCATCAGCTTTGTCAAGAGGAGATACCATTGAGCTTACACGCGGGGTGATCCTTGAAGAAGGTCTTGAGAACTTGTATATGGCTCGAGACCTGCTTGCGAGTGCGTTTCATCGTTTCATCTGGTACCTCACCTGGGGCAAGGCTCTCCAGATATGATATCCACAGATACTCTTTAATCAGCTCATTGCGTCCATGAGGTTTCCCCTGGTAGGAGAACTTTCGTCTGCCCATAGGAGGGATGTAAAGCAAAGCTAGAGCGGTTAGCCAAAGAGCGAGAGTAGATTGACACTCTCACTCACCATCTAGAAATGCCATTTCGAGCTGGTGTGGCCACTTTGCATCTTGCTTGTGCCCATCACGCACTTGACGTGCCCGATATGCCTGGTAGTGCTCCGATTCAACGATAGGGTTTCGTTGATATTTTCGTTGCCTTCTTCTTCGAGTCCTTTCCCGTCGTTGTTCACATGTTTGCCCTAAGGATTGATGAGGAGGCAGCGACGGAACAGTGGGTGTAGGGCAGATGGGATTGGTAGGTCTATTCAAAAAATTGGAGATGACCGGCTTCTCGCAGGAGTTGTACCTTCCCGTGAGGCATGGCTCGCAATCGTGGCAGTTGATATCCAGAACAATTCTGAACGGGTCTACATTATGACCTTCGGATTGCTGCGGGTAGTCCTTATCATCATGATGTAAACCTACTGGAGCAAAAGAATGTTCTTGAGAATTGCCGTGAGATTCGGTGAGAGGCTGTCTAGAAGCCAACTGCGAATACTCACTGTGGTCATCCAGTGAAAGTTGGTTGGAATCATTCGAAGGCACCATCCAACTGTATTGTGTTCGTGCCATGGATTCGTGGTTAAGAATGCTTTACGATCAACACTTGCAAACAAAGAGTTTCTGTTGGTTGGAGTAGGAATACGGATTGCAGTAAGAAATGCTTCAAGGAATGGCAGCGAACTTTTTGAGGACCAAAGAGAAATGCTAACAGGAAACGAGAAATGAGGGAGGAACTTCTCGGCTTATAGAAAGAAAAGGCAACTCCCTCCAAGATCGACCCGGAAAACGGGTTGCCAAAAAAACAGCTTGATGACACCACAAGAAACCTACCAGGGGGATTCCAACGGTAGTGGATCAGCCACTTTAGAGAGGTACCTACCTCCAAGTATCTACAACGTTTTCTTTGAGTTGAGACGAGACAGGGGGTTTCAGGTCATGCAAGGATATCCGTTTGCGGAGGGCAAAACAGCCGCTTAAACCCGCCCTCTGGACTTACAAAGGAATGCTTCATCTGGTGAAGTATGTGGCAATTTGCCCACGCCAGTTCAGCCACTAGCAGCCTAGAATAATACGGTGAACCTGGCAACGGTTTTCCGGGGTCGGAATGCTGCAAATTGAGATCAATTGCTCAGATCAAACCTCAGAATATCGTGGAAGAGAGCATTGTTTCCATTGTCCCCGGCCCATGGCACAGGGGTGGGTGTGTTATCTAGACATTATTCAGACATTCCTTTCATGGCCAATTTTTTCTTTCAAAGTATCGAGGGTTATCCGGATTGCGGGGCATCGATATTGAAGATTAAGCTTCAGAAAATTGAGGACACCGCAGCGCAGGACGCAGGTACACCCTTTTTGCAGTGTGGGGGGCTGTTGGTAAGGGTCGCGTGCATTTGTAGCGCCGGTAAGGGAGGACCGGGGTCATCTCGCCCAATTGCAACAAGAATCGATAAACAAGGGAGGCGAATCCATAACCAACACATCAATCCTCCTCTCCATCGTTCCCTTCAATATTGAATTTTTTGCGGCCACCGCCAGTAAGCTTCTGCATAGCAACCTTACTCACCTGACCTCCTATCTTCTTTTGCATCCTCTCAATTTCTTCTTCTGCATCAACAGAATCATCCGAGGCAAATTCCAACACGAGGCGTCGTCCAAGAAGATGAGTGTCCTTCAATGCCTCAATAGCATTCTCCGCCTCCCGGACCGTGATGAAATCTGCGAAAGCAAATCCTCGAGCCGAGTGATCGAATTTCTTGGGCACCCGAACCGATCGGAGTTGGCCATATGTTCCAAACAAAGCCCGAATATCTTTCTTTGATGCCTCGAAAGGCAAGTTCTTGATGATGATCTTTGTTCGTTTTCCGTCGATCTTCTTAGCTCTGTCCTCTTTTCTCCGCTCTTCCGCAGCATCAGCTCCTTTGTGAGATGCTTTGATGAGAAGCTTGTGATCCTCGAGCGTGTATCCATCCATAGCCTTCAAAGCGGCTTGAGCCTGCGCCTTTGTCTTGAACTCTAGGAAACCGAAACCCATGCTCAGAACTTGGCCGGGCTTCTTCGGGTCCGTCTTTGTGTTGACTCGCGCAGACAGGAAACCATCGAGAGGCTTGAATGTTTCAGTAAGGCGAGCACTAGTGGTAGTAAAGTTAAGATTTCGAACGAATAATGTGGTAGTATCTGCCCCATCTGTGGTAGTTTCTCCCTCTAGAAGATCAGAGGTGGAGATAGATTTCTTTGCATTTCGATCGAGATCGGATGTTGTGACGTTGCTACTACTGCCTGTGAAGAGATTTTTCGGTGCCTTTTCAAGATAAAGGATCGAATCTTTCATTCGCCGATACGCCAGACTACTAAATGCAGCTCTTGCATGGGTTGGCTGAGCAAACTCCACTATTGCAATGGTTCCAGTGGGTGGCATCAGTACTCGTAGCACCTGGCCAAACTCCTCAAATAATTTCCGAAGCTCCTCGAGAGTCATACCATACGGGAAGTTCTTGACAAGGATAGTCGTGTCACCTCGCTCTCTTTTCTTGAAGGCATCCAAGTCGACGCCATTTTTGAGAAAGTATGACTTCGTCTCCTGGATGACGGATGTTTCCGCGATAGCTTGCTTGACTCCTGCATCAGCTGATGTAGGATCGAGTAGCTCAGACTTTGAAACTCCCAATCGTTCGGCAATGGAGGAGTTAGCAGCGTCTTGATTCATATACAAAGAATTCCAGTTGAACGTAGCCGATGACGCTTCCGCCTTTTTCTTGATTTGTTTTTGCTTTTTAAGTGGTAACTTTGCAATTGCAAATTCGTCCAACTTATTTTCTCGTTTCGGTGCTGCCGGCAAAATATGTAGCAGTCTTCCCTGAAAGGACTCACCATCAAGGTTGTGGAATGCTTCAGCAGCCGCAGTTGGATCGGTGTACTGAACTAGAACAAAGCCTTTGCTCTTTCCTGAACCATCCACCGCCAAATGTACCTAAGCCTTGAGGTTAGCACAATTCATCAAAGTAATGTGGCATTCCGAATCAAGAAATTATGTTTGCGTTCAGAAAATACGAAGCATCTACTAAAATAATCGTCCAGTTCACATCACATGCCTTGGCATAAGCTGTCCCTATCTGGATATTCATCAGGAAGCAAAGGAAAAGAGAAAGAAAAACACGCATCGCACGTACCTCTTCAAGTGATCCATATGGCTCGAAGTGCTTTCGCAAATCATCTTCGGTCGCGGTGTATGGAAGATTTCGGACAAATAAGCGGCCATTTGCTGCAGATATGGCTTCCAAAATAGGGTCTGACTTTTCCTCTTCGGCTTCATCCATTTGCATGATCTCGTCTATGTCCTGAAGTGGCTCTTCTACAAAAGGCGATGGCTCTGCGGTTGGTTCGACCACTAGTACTGCATTTGTTAGATCCACGGTCCCTGTCTGGGCAGGGGGAATATCATCAGGATCCATCAAATCCAGTAGTCTATTTGTCCGACTCCGAAGCCAATCATCGTCTGTAGCACCAACAGCAACATCCGGCATAGGCTCGTCAATCTGTTTCAACTCTTCAATAGGTACAGCGGCGACTGGTGGGGCTTCCTTGGGTGGGCTACTCTTCCTCACCTTTTTGGGCACCGACTCGTAATCATCATCGCTTTCTGCTTCTGGGACCTCGATTGCCTGTATTTTTGTAGGTGGTTCTTTCATGCCATCATCTGCAGTACCGGTGGGCCATTTCTTTATTTTTGATGCTGGTTGCATGACTTCCAAAAACTCCTGCAGCTTGGGATCGACCTCATCCACGTCGCTTCTTTTCCTTTTGCTGGAAGCATTGAGTTCTGCCTTCTCAGCCGATGCCTTTTCCTTCCTCCGCGACGCCGCATCCTCTCTGTCCTTCTCACGTTGTGCCTTCCTCGAGACTGGGAGCGACTGATCTGAAATCTGCATCTTGTTAGCCAGTGTTCCGAGTGACCATCATAAAGTAACGTACAGGTCGTGCGAGCTCTACTCCAATCTTGGACATGCGCATGAAGGAGCGATTGAAGTACTTGACTGCCTTTGCAGCATCCTCAGGGGTTTTGTATCCGACATATCCAATCCTCCGATGCGCAATCAATTTTGCGTCCGTGACGGGCGATTGTGCGCTAAAATGTTTCTTGAAATCATCCTCGGAAATGGTGGGCGGGAGGCCTTTGATGAATATTCTGGAAGACTCCATAGTAAATGGGTGACGGCGATGGAGGAAGGGATCAAGACATTTCTGTCAAGTTGTGGTGTTGAGACAGATGTAGTTTTGCGGTGGAGAGCTTCTTGTAGCTGCTAGTGGAAAAAGAAAATAAAAAAAGTTTCTGTTTCTCCCGCGCGCTTGTAGCGGCAAGCACTCCAATTAAAGCAGCCACATTAAAAGCTTAAAGTGTGGGTCGCAACCAATCGGGAGCTCACAGGCGATCCCTGAGTTACTGGCAGGCGCAGGTGGAGATCTGAATGTTTTGAAAGCATCAGCATCCGATCAAAAATACAATAAACACCACGAACCACCCGACTTCTCTGCCCAACTTTCTCTCCGCACGATCCACCTTGGACTCGGTCAGCTACTAGCACTCAGAAGGTACAAGTTACAAAGCTACCAAACTACCACGTGCCCGTGTACCTTTTTCAATAACTGACAACTTGGCAGTCCACAAACCCAAAACCACCTCACCGACTACACTCCAAGCGCATTACAGCAGAATCTCAAGACATCTCAAGATATAAGCATCTTTATTAAATCAATAGACTCGAACCAAACAACCTTCAAGATGGCTTCTGAAAAGGGAACAACAATGAAGGAGAAGCTTGAGGGTATGTCATATACCCCCCACATCCTATGAGACTACACAGAACGTCAAAGTCAAGTTCAAGGCCAATGGACTAACCCGATTCTTCTCACAGCTCAAATCAAGTCTGCCGATATGGTATGTCAATACACACGATGCGTTGCTAGACTAGGCTATGCGACACGTTGATCATGAATGCGACAAGATCAAGGCTAACAATATCAACAGACCGAAGACATGCAGCAGGAGGCTATTGATGTTGGTATGTTTGCACAAGTCCACTGCGCCTACCTTGGAGACTGACAGCTATTCAAGCTCAAGCGGGCATGACAAAATACACGATCGAGAAGGTAGCCACAATACAATCCCTCAACCAGTCTTTCCTATCTAACACATTTCCAGGACATCGCTCAATATATCAAAAAGCAATTCGACGAGCGCAAGGGCCCAACATGGCACTGTATCGTCGGCCGCAATTTTGGATCCTTCGTTACTCACGAGACCAAACACTTCATCTACTTCTACCTCGGTCACTGCGCTATCCTCCTCTTCAAGACCCAGTAAACAGATTTCCCGCCAGGACGAAAAGCTTGACCGAAAACGCACAAAGTCACTTTTTAAACATGGGCACTGATAGGATACGCGACGGGAATGGACGGTTTGCAGTCGGGAGAATAAGAGAATGTAATGCATTTCATCGATGTATTTGCAGGGGCGTGAATGGATAATGGTATGCGATGGCTTGGATGTTTACGGCGCGTGTTCATAATGCAAGGCAAATGAATATTTGGGACGAGGATGCGTCGCAAAGATACCTTATAAATGAACAATATGATTCCCCCAAATCTCCTCTTTCTACATGATCAAAGGCTCAAGTCAACTCCTTCAAAACATCCATCACCAGAATCTTACTCCAACAAAAAAAACATATACCTACCCAAATATCTCACCCCCGCCCTCCCAATCTTCCCTTTCATTCCCTCCCATCTCTACTCAACTACAACCACTCAACTAATCTCCCACTCACCCCCCACACGCAATTCATCAACCCATAACATAGCATAACAAACCAAACCATAGCATTAACCCCCAAAAATCAATCACGTAAGCCAAGAAGTACTGTAAACCATGTAAAGCTCGGAACATACCAAATGTCATTATAATATGAGGTCATCTGTAATGAAATGCTCGGGATGGATTCTTCCACATGCCAAGTCATCCTTTTTCTTTTGACAAGGGGAATCCTGGGAGGTTGGTAGTGGTAGTGGTAGTGGTAGTATTCCCCTGACGATCGACGACTAACCCCCAATAGCTTTATTGGTAAATATAAGGGGGGTGGGGGTTGTGATGA